GACCGGCTCCTCAGCCCATCTCCAATTCGAGTTGGGAGTTTTCCTTTGGCAACCTACTCAAACATCACCTGCCAGGGTGCCATGTTCGGATTAATTTAAATATACCAAGGCAACCTTAAACCCAGGACAATTGATTCGTTCAACAAATGGTCAAAGTGTTCGGTTTGTTTTCGTCGATGGGGCAAGAACCCTTTCGCCCGGGGCCCTCCACCAGCTTCGCCTGATGGCACTCTGAAGGTGCCGGGATCGCAGCGGAAGCAAGATGTCTGGCCGCCCTGGTCTTGCGCGGTGCCGTTGGCGCCTCGGCGAGGCGCCAGAGAAAAACGCGTCGGGTTTCGGGGTTTCGGGGTTTCGGCTCCCCCCCTGCGATTGGCTCGACTCTCAACAGTTCCTTGAAATGCGGCGAGTACCAAACGCCGACTGCACAACTTCGTAGGTGGAAGACATGCCCGTGACGATTCAACGATGCCCCCAGGTCTCCCACCAGCTGTCTGTGTATGTTGCCCCTGTTTCCAAGGGTCTCTTTCAGCCAGTGCCGGGCAGAGCATCTGTGCTGGAGTACAGGTTCTGGAGTGGTCACTGGCACAAAATTCCTTTATGACCTTCTAGGGACCCAATATGACCCGTAAACCCGTAAAGGAAACCACCCGGGATGGTTTACGGGTCATTCCCTTATTCCCTGCTGAGCAACAACAAGTTTTGCGTTGTACTTTTGCAGTGGACGCCGCAGCACACCGTCGCTTCACGCAAGTGCGTCTCGCTCATGCTTCCGGCCGGCCATGATTGTGACCCCACAAGTATACACCTGTGCATACCATGCCCATGCTGACACTCACTTGGCAGCGGCTCAAACAAATGCACCAGAATGCACCTTTGCAAGTGGAACCAAAGACCAAAACCTGCGTAACCCTGGCTGTTGAGTTTGAGCCGCGCCCACTTTACTCTTTGTGATGAGCCAAATGAGCCCAGACTGAACTGCACCCCATGGGCTACCCATTGTCTGATGCCTCCCCTTTCCTGACTCGCAAGTCGACACGCTGAACTTCCCACATGCGTTTTTCTCCTTATTTTGCCAGTTCTCACTAGGATAAGGTTTTGGGATTGACGGACCGTGTGGGATATTTCCTTAAAAGAAACCACAACAAGTATTTGGGCGACCAGCAGGTCATTTTGACGCGTCTGGCTCGCTGAGGCGCAGGTCACGCAGATCGACGTTTTCCCCTGATTGTCCTCGAGCTCTTGGGCGAATTTTCCAGGAGGGCATAGAGCGCAGGTGTCTGCCCCGCTGCGGTCCTGAGAGAAGATTTGCAATTCGGCATCCGTTTCTCAACCAAGAAATTGTGTCTTTTCCGGCAAGACCCAAAGGCCGCCTGAGCTGAAATGGAAGCGTCGTTGGTTCCATTTGGGGGTTCAGTTGTTCCCCCAACAGCTGCAAGCTCGTGGTTTTTATTCAGGTATCAGCCCAGATTGGCTCCGGGGTGGTCTGGGGCGGCTCTGAGGTAAGGTTCCACAGGGTTCCGCAAGGGCTCCGCAAGGGTTCCGCAAGGGCTCCTGTGTGGTCTGGCGCGGTCCAGGGTTCCAAGAGCGTTCCGCGAGGGTTGGTGCTGTTGGGGATCCATGCTTCCAGAATTGACAAGGCGGCCGACTACATGCGAACCCGCGTTTTGGCTGCGACAGCCAAACTCTGTGGATCTTAAGACGGCTACCCTCAAACCACCTTCCCCACCCCCGAATACTCCAAAACATTGAAAACAATGGACAGCTCTTGCTAAAAACCCGAACCTGTCCCAAACTGTCGCCTTGGACGCTTCGAGAGGCTAGAGCGTTCAAACAGGTGGTTGCGAAATATGTCCAGCTGACCTCGCCCCTCCCCTAAACCAACACACGCGCACACACATACACACACACACACACAGGGCGGAAACTTCCAAATCGGCTCATTGAGATCCAGCTTTGTAAGTTCCCACCCAACACTTCACAAACTGACGTGACATGAGCTTCACACAGCTGCACGTGGCTTCCGAGTGGGATGAAGCACGTCCAAGATATAACAATGCAAACACATACATCCTTCATGGGACACGCAAAAGGCTAATCCGGCCTTGCTTTCTACTCTCGTCCATCATTGCGCTGGTAGGCAGAGAGAGAGTGAGAGAGAGAGAGCGAGAGAACCACACGCCCCTTTGGGTAAATCTGAAATCCACACACTTAGACGCACACAGACACACCCACACGCACACACGCGCACATGCGCACACACGCACACACGCACGCACGCACGCCCGCAAGCACGCACGCACGCACCCACCCACACACACACAGTGCGCGTGCACGCACGCGCCACGCACGCACGCCCGCACGCCCGCCCGCACGCACGTACGTACCCACAACACACACACACACCCACGCGCGCACACAACACACACACACACACGTACGCACTTCAACTCCCGAAGGGGAGATCTCATCTTTCGAGTGGGCAGGTATTCGAGTGGCGAGACCCATGGCTACTAGAATCGAAAACGTTACCAGGACAAACAAGAAGCACACACAGCGACAAAAGAAGGGGCTAAAAAGATTTTAAATCACTGGCGCAGGTACGTCAATCTCGCGTCCGAGATTGATATCACAGGCAAGAGCAAAGGTCTTCGTTGGTGCCAGCCTTACCCCCTGCTGAAAAACATAGTCACGACGAGAAGTGGTGTCAGGGTGAATCTGACACTCCGCACACACAGGAATCCCGACCTGCGCGAACATGCTCAGAAGACGGTCAAATCGCCGTGGTGTGAAGGAACTGTCGACACCCTGCGTGTTGCCTAACGGGAAGAGTGCGTTGGAAACCTTGACAATGCCAATCCTGGATGGTCCAAGCCTCAAGGGTAATGTTCCGTTGTGTCCAGTCATCTTGTTGATGTTCTCCACCAGGGCCCGACAGTGCATCACCTTCAGGTTGCACAGGTTCCCACACCCTACACGCGTTGCTGGATGGCATCATTTTGGTACCAAGTCTGCACTTCTTCAGGCATGAAGATCTTGACCCACTCTTGACCGCGCCATTGAGAATACTCCAGCCAAGGTTGCCGGATGAGATGATGATGACGAACAGATTCATCACGTTCAACTTCCATGACTCAGAGACACAGGACGCGAAGGACTGTTGCTACGCCAATGTCTCAACAGCTGAAGCAACCAAGAGCAAAGAACAGCACAAGATAACAAGGCACACCAAACACCGATCAAGCCCAGTGCAGAAAACAGAGACCTTTTTATCAGCCATGCACACCATGAGTCACTCCATGCCAGCATCAAAAAAGGATTTTGTGAGAGAGGATGCACTGCCGGCCGGGTGGGCGATCACGTCCGGCGCCGACGTGAAACTCAGAGACGGCTCAGACTGGTTGATGTCCGCGCAAGGAGGATGAGAATGTGATGTGTCTTGGTCAAGCTGCTTCTGAATGTAATCCTGAAGGCGCGTCAGATCATCAAAGGAAAATGCCGCTGAGTCGGTCGATTGAAGCATTGCTTCCAGTCGTTGAGGACAAACTTCCACCGTGCATGATTGCGTCTCAGCATTACGATGCTGATCATGGCATTGGCGCCCACGTGGGCTGCGGTCATCATCAGGGTTGGGCGGTTGGGCGGTGCAATCCGACGAAACCCTTCAGTGACCCAATCACGCTTGTACCATGAATGCACTGTGGTAGGCGTTCCAGGGAACGCCGGGCTTGCCGCAAACCCGAGAAAGAGTGGGCCCAAAGTGCTCCCCCGCGGTGCTCGACCACCTTTCAGAAACAAAACCTTTCAACACGATGAAAATGGGCTCCAATTGCCGCGCGGGCTCCAAATTTAAACACCCTTCGAAATGGAACGAACCGGCAATGCTGCTTTGGGGGCTCAACCCCTGCGCAACTGAAAATCACCCGTGATGTGGCTTGGGCGGTTCAACCCCTTAAAAAATGGAAATGGACCCGGAACTTCAACCCCTTTACAGTTGAACCCATGTTGTGGCTTGGCGGGTTCAACCTCTGTAAAATTGGAAGTGGACCCGTGATGCGGCCTGGGTGGCTCAGCCCCATTAAAATTGGAACTGGACTCCTCACCCTCACATTGATTGGGCACAGCAGCTCTCGACGGATCGTTTTCTCACAAGCGCCAGACCGGCTCCGGCACAGACGACGTCTCTTCGTCTGTGCTCTCCCCATGTCACCTGTGGACCAGAGGCCCAGTGGCGTCACATTGTAGTGAGAGGCAAACTCGCCATCCATCTGGGCTTTACTAAAAGCCAGTAGACGCCTGCCAGATGACCACGCGCGTTCTATGACTGCCGAAGTGCCTGGCGTCGCAAGCGCTTCTCTTGCAGCCGTCACCAGGCTGGGAAACGCTTTGCAGCCCTGCGCAGCCCACCAAGCAAGGGGACACTCTCCTATGGCTATGCCAGGGCAGGAGAAAAAAAAGCAGCGACCTGTGCTTTCGCATTGCGCCGCTGCTCATCCTCCGAAATTCGCAATTGCGGTTCATGCATTCCTCAAACGCGCTCAGATCCTGCCCCTGAACTTTTCTTTTCTTCAGTGCCTTGGATGCTGCCGGAAGACATGGACCCCTTTTTTGGGGTGCTCTTTTGGGGTGGAAAAGGGAATCAAAGGGATCAACCACAGTACTCCTTTCTGGGTGCTTTAGGACCAGAACTCTGGAAAAGGGAAGCAAAGGGACCAAAGACTGATAAGGATTTGATTCCTTTTTTTGTGGTTTACGACCAAAACTCTGGCAAAGGGAATCAAGGAATCAACCACAGCACTGATAAGGACTTGATTCCTTTTTTGGTGGTTTAGGACCAAAACCCTGGAGAAGGGAATCAAAGGGATCAACCACAGTACTGATAAAGATTTGATTTTTTTAAGGTGGTTTGGGCCCAAAAGTCTGGAAAAGGGAATCAAAGGCAGCAACCACAGTGCGGAAAAGGATTTGATTTCTTTTTGGGTGGTTTGGACCAAAACTGTGGCCAAAGGGATCAACCACAGTACTGATATGGATTTGATCCCTTCAGTGTGGAAGTGGACAAAAGTGCTCCCTTCGCAGGTCAAGAAAGCTTCAGCCTCTTCAGTATGGAAGTGTGCAAAAGCAAGAAAACCCGTAAGGCCGGCCAACGTTTTTCAGAATGCGGACAGCAAAATCTTCTAGCCCAGTCGCCGGCCGCAAAGGGTTCCTCGCAGCCCTCTGCACAGGTCGCGCGTCTGCGTCCTGCTCAGGAGCCGGCAAAGTGGCCAAAACCTCTTGGACCACCTCCTCAGCATTCAGGGTTTAGAAACGCGCGCGCGCACAAACGCACACATATGGGTCTGCCTAGACACGCACGCCCAAACGCACAAGCAAAAAACTAACAAAAGCGGAACGAGGTGAACTTGCCAACCTGGACAAAGCGCACTCAGCGGAACCGCGTGCTTGTTCTCCACATCCCCGGCAGGCACGCGTACTGGGGTCTCGTCCAGCAGCTGAAACTCTAGTGTACCTGTCAGACTCGAGGGGTCGTCCGGCGGGAGCCTCACGAAAACTGTGTCAGGGCTGTCTACGACCTCCTCGAGAAAACCCGGCAGTTGACCAAGCAGCTGCTACGGAAGACCAGCAAGCGCGGGAGCTGGAGCAAATTCATCTTCTAGCGAGTGAAGCAGCACATTCGAAATGTACAACCGCCACATCGCGCTGAAGCAGGCCATGCTGGAGCTTGCAGCCACACGAGCTCATTTGTTTCCAGACAGGACTTTCCTGAACGACTCAGAGTATGTCCTGATGGGGCAAGTGGTTGGGATTGTCAAGCCCTTTGCAGAAGCTAACCTGTGCGCACACACAACAGCTTTGACTGGGAGCGCCAAAATATGGCAATAGCACCGCGCAGCCTCCAATCCCAAAGTGGTGGCCACGTTGCCGGCGCTGTGGCAGTTGTCAGACATTGACACAAAGATCAAGTCCTTGATGTCCCGGTCAAGCTCCTGCCTGCACACCAAAAGAGTTCAATCGAAAACGCAATCTGTACGGAGATGGGGTGGACCAAAATACGGTCTTGGGGAAAACTGCTCTGGGTGCGCAAGCCTTGAAAAGCCCGTAACGAAATGGGCCCGTGCTGCTTCAACCCCCTTTAGAAGTGACAATGCAAATTGGCCCGCAACCCCCTTCAGCATGAAAAAGTCTCCAGTCCCTTCAAAATGGAACCGGGCCTAGCTTGCAGGGTGGGGCCCCTCAAGCGTTGAAACGGTAGAAACGCTCGCCCCTGTGCAAACGCGCCTACACACCCCAAACGT